CAATGACTTTACAGTCAGGGAGTTAATATTCATAATATTACATTTGAATACCTTACTTTGTCATTTAGCGGCTGTAATCAGTTTAGCTAATGTCAGCCTTTGATTGTTTAATTGCGTCTACAGTTTGACTGTTAGCATCATGTGTCCCTTAAGCTCTTCTTCCAATTTCTTTATGGTCAGTAATCCGAGCTGTTGAGGTTTAATGCTGCGTGTACCACCCACCTCCACTCATCGCTGTGACTGGTCTTCTCTTTCCAGTTGGTGACCCAGGGTGTCTGTAGGTCTGCCGGTAAATTATGTATGCACTGTTTTCGTGGTCTGCCTCCTGGTCTACGGCCATTCAACTTCCTCGTGTATGCAGTTTTTGCCCGTCATCGCCTGCTATTCTCGCTGTATGTTCAAGCTATTTCAGTCCAATAGCCTTCATGATGCCAGTGATCAGTGGTCATTTAAACAAGATTATGAGTCTCGTTGCTGATTGTCACTTTCCATTTCCTGCTGCTTTCATCTTTGATAGGTCTCAAGATTCTACGTAAGACTGCTTTATAAAATATGTAATAAAGCTTTATCTTTTTTAGTCATGCTTCAGATTTCAGAACCATATAAAAACGACAGGTCTTATTAGCGTTTCAAACATTGTAATCTTGGTATTGGGGTATCGTTTTTTTTAAAATTTTTTAAAATTTTATTAGTGAATTATTATTGACATGAAGTTCAGATCTTGATGTTAAGTGGAATCACTAACCACGCCCAGTCCGCCATTTTAATGAAGTAGGCAGTTCAGAATTGACTACTGTTTTATGCGAGTAGACACACACAAAAAGGCACGGTCATTTTCTGTGTTTGTGTGAGTGGACAGAATCGACTGAAATTCACAGTGAAGTTAAAGTGACGAATGACTGGCACGGTATGATTATGCAACACACGAGGAAATGGTCTGGGAGTGAGCAGCGTGCCCGAGGCAGAAACAACTATGACAGGACATCACTCTACAACTAAGAAGGGTGTGTCCTCTGTACCCCTAAACTATTTGGAAGAACACACTCGGTCAAATAGCTCAGTCTAAGATTTTGTTCACTACTGTGCACAGCACCCATAAGTATCAAACAATGGATCTCGAAGCAACCGACAGAAGGCCACATTAAAACCTGCATGAATACTTTTTGTTTTCGTCCACTTCTTCCATTTTAACGAGCCTACTGGGCGTTTCTGTTTTAAATTTCAAAGTGAATCAAAACAGGATAACCCCTCAATTGTCTCCAAAAACAAGAATCCAATAACGACGTGGAATAATTCCCATCTCATGTAGAAACACAATTCAAAACACCAAACGGCTGTGACGAACATCTCAGCCACTGTGTTTTAGGAGTACGTTTTGAATTGCAGATAATGAAAAAAAGATCTGCATTGTTTGGTGGGTGCGGTAACAGTTCACAAGGAAAAACTACGCTTAGAGTTAAACTGGTGGGTGCGGTAACAGTTCACAGGGAGAAACTACGCTTAGAGTTAAACTGCAGGAAAACGGAAATTGTGGTCATCACCAAGAAGAAAGAAATACCAATGTGTGAAATAAATGCAAACGACAACATTTTGAAGCAAGTTATTAGATACAACTACTTTGGGACAGTTATAACATCAGATGCAATATACCTTGTAGAAATTAGAACACAGAATCACCATAGCAAAAGTGGCTTCAGCAAATGCAACAGATTCTCACCAAAAAGATGATGACATTTATAGTGGGGGACAAAAATGTTACAATGCTGTGCAGGACCTGTGTTGTTATAAGCATGGACAAATTGTGTTAATGACAGCACATGGCAATGCTCTACTATGCACATTGCTTGACAACTATTTTTTTGGACTAATAGGAAATCGGCTTTCGCCAATGTCCAGTCAGCGGTTCGTTCAAACCATTCTTCAGGTTTAACACTTTTACCTGCATGAAAACTGGTTGCAGTCAGATGATGTCACATATAAAAGTGCAAACCTAACTACGTAACGACTCTCTACCAACACAGTGAATCAGGAATTTTCAGTAGACAGGCAGACAAGTAAAGGACAAATGGGATTTCGGAAGAACAGAAGCTGTACTGATGCTATTTTCACACATAGACAAGTAATGGAAAGAACGGCAGATTTCGAGGAAGAATTACACGTCGCATTCGAAGACCAAGAGATAGCGATCGGTCGAGTTCACATGAATAAATTTAAGGAAGGTACTACACGATTACCGAATATGCGAACATCTTCAAAAAATGTGCATGAATTTATACGTGAACATTCAATGCGCAGTTAGAACAAAGACTAGGATGTCAGAAAAGTTCTACATTAGATCTGGGGTGCCTTCCATCATCATTGCTGTTCCTCACACACGTCGACCAATTTTGCCTTTATTTTTCCTGACTATACCTGGTACCCCCTCAAAGCTGGGTCCGCCTGAGAGCCAAGGTCATTTTTGAGAAGAAGAAAAAAATTGTCTCTCTCAGGACCGAACCTGACAACGACCTTCCGATCCACATGGTCCTTGGGAATGTGGATCAGTTCTATTCAGAATAGTCCGTCCTGCTATCATCATAAACCAAACAGCATAACATGTGTCTTGTTCGCCTCTGCCCACTTTCAGTAATCTTTCCTGTCGTCACGATGATCTCCAAAGCTTCTTGTCTCAAGACATAGCAACAACAAAAACTGTGTCGTATAGCCGATTATACTTTTTTTCTTATTTATTCTTTTCTCTAGAGCTTGTTCTACCTTTCAGCGCCAGATTTTGAAGAGGCATCAGGTGCGAGCCTGTGTGTGCTACATAAGTGCTGGTATTCACGGACTGAAACGTTCTATTTATCTTTCGCTTGTATGGGCGACCTCTAGTTTTGCTTCCGTCGTGTGTAAGTGACACTGGCGGCTGGGAAAGTGTTTTTAGTTACTCCAGAGGTTTAACGCAATACTGATCTCAGAAACTGAATATTCGCAGACTTCCTTCCCCTCCTGATATGTTATTTACATGCCAAGATTCACCCTGTACATCAGAACAGCTTAGACATAAGACTCGCCTTTCTAACATGCACTGAAAGTTTCTCCTTATATAAAATATCGTGAAAAGGTTAGTGTTTGCTTGGTATTTCATACTCTTGGTAATGTTTTCAATGTTTCTTTCCTTTGATGTTAGGACTGCCCTCTAAAAATTTACTGAGTTGGTTATGCTTTTCCGTCTCTATTGTTATATCAGTTTTCGATATTCCTTTGCTTTGATACATCAATTGTTTCTATTTTCTTGATATTCAAGGAGATGCTTCTTAAATCTTTCGCTCTGAGAAGCTTCTAATCCGTCATCATCGTCCGTTACATTATCCCCAGGACAACCGCTAACCGTTATTGCTGCATTGCCTATTCGACAAGCCTAGTTAATCACTTTGTGTTACTGTATTGTCTTTTTATTTATAACGGTAATCTTAGGAGCGTGTTTCCAGTAAATATTTTGATACAATATTCTCAATGTTATCTCTATTACTTTGAAAACCCTACCCCACCTTGATACATAAATGTGATGTTTAAAGTGACGTTTTTTTTAAAGGTTTGTTATGTGTTCTATCTTGGTTAATATAAATTTCTCAAACGTAAAAAGCCTTTTTAATGTCTGGATATGAATCCTGTCCATATTCCTTTGTTGTGGATTCAAGTGGCTGTTAAATCTGGCTACTGAGGACACCCTACTGACTACTGGGTGTTTAGTTAGATGATGTTAAAACACCCTTAAATGGGTGTCTAGTTGGCAGGTGTTAGAACACCCTTTAATGGGTGTCTAGTTGGCAGGTGTTAGAACACCCTTAAATGGGTGTCTAGTTGGCAGGTGTTAGAACACCCTTTAATGGGTGTCTAGTTGGCAGGTGTTAGAACACCCTTTAATGGGTGTCTAGTTGGCAGGTGTTAGAACACCCTTTGATAGGTGTCTAGTTGGCAGGTGTTAGAACACCCTTTAATGGGTGTCTAGTTGGCAGGTGTTAGAACACCCTTTAATAGGTGTCTAGTTGGCAGGTGTCAGAACACCCTTAAATGGGTGTCTAGTTGGCAGGTGTTAGAACACCCTTTAATGGGTGTCTAGTTGGCAGGTGTTAGAACACCCTTTGATGGGTGTCTAGTTGGCAGGTGTTAGAACACCCTTTAATGGGTGTCTAGTTGGCAGGTGTTAGAACACCCTTTAATGGGTGTCTAGTTGGCAGGTGTTAGAACACCCTTTAATGGGTGTCTAGTTGGCAGGTGTTAGAACACCCTTTAATGGGTGTCTAGTTGGCAGGTGTTAGAACACCCTTTAATGGGTGTCTAGTTGGCAGGTGTTACGTGAAGGGACATTTAAAATGTACATTAGAAGGACACTGCTGTCACTGACAGTGAGGAAGGCAAAATGAAATTATGTTCAACACAAACGGAAATGAAAAATAACTGATATTTCACTATGTAATGTTTCAGTTATTTACGTAGATGCATTTTAAAATAATTTATATTTCCGTAATTCGGCCGCATAAGGGGAAGCTGACTTTTATTAGGACGTATTACTTTACTAACGATATCTTGAGGGTTAATTCTAAGTCAAGACCTTAAAATGTGGAAAGACCCTACAGAGAATTCATATTTCAACGTCTACTATATATCGATTACTACTGGTATTCGATATGCTCGATGCGCGTTTGAGTAAAATCAGGTATATTTGGCCACTTAAACCATTTTTTTCCAAAGCGGTTACCGTCTGCTTCTTGATTGCGGAAATGACGTCACCGAATGCTGAAATTTCAGAAAACGTCAGGTGACATTGGACGTTTAGCGAGAACTATCAGAACAGTCAGCAAAGGCAGCAGCGGAGCAGCAGGGCACAGAACGAGAACTAACTGTCCACACGACAGACATGACTACGCGAAACTCGCATGTAAGCTGACGCACCTTATGTTGCCATGGTAATGTGATACTATCCCTCTGCAAAAGACATGGCTGAGTAGGGGATTTGGTTACAACCATTTTGTGAAGTACTTGGTGACACGGGAGAAGACATCTGGAACGGATCATATGCGATGCATCAACAGCTGATTCAGTCGAATGTTTACACCAATGTTATATTTGTTTTGTGTGCTTGATTGCTTACACGTGATGTGATTTAAACAACTCAAATTAATCAAAATAACTTCATTTTCTTTGTGAGCACAGAATATACATCTTGTTATTTAGAGCTTAAAAACCTTGCCTCATAACAATGTCTGAATATATATTCTAGAATGATATACAGAGGTCCCTTTGCTTTTGAGCGAAGTTGTCATCTCTTGTAGTAGTTTTTGACCTTCCCATCGACATCCTGACCCTCTTTCCCCAACATTGACAACTAGACATGGGACTTGACAATGTCTAACATTTACGTCAAAAAAATATTTGTCAAAATTAAAAATAAAAACCATCTCTTTTACAATGAACACTTTTTCACCATTGCAAGATTGACTCTGCTGCTTTATGTCACTACGTGGTGATCATACCACATATGATTTGATTATACCACATATGATTTGATTTTACCACATATGATTTGATAATACGACACATGATTTCATTTTACCACATATGATTTCATTATACCACATATAATTTGATAATACCAGGTATGATTTGATTATACCACATATCATTTAAAACTACACTAAGCAACTCTCTATGTCAGTGGCCAGCATCACGCCGGCCGCCTTTACTTCGCCTCGAGTGCTAGAGGTTTCGGGTTCAATCCCCTGTAAGGGCTGGGATTTTCTATCAAGTGGACTTGAACTTCTAGTAATTCCCCCCGGTCTCTGGATCGTGAGATCGGACACCCATGTGTATTGTTGCGCACGTAAAAAAAAAAATCACTTAGCAGTTGGAAATCGAAAAGAGTAGCCTAACCGCTCTGTCCGGGCAAAATTTGGTGTTTAAAATCTACCTAAAGTATTTCAGGATCCTCGCCGGTCCTACAGAGCCAGTGAACTGCGCTGAGCTTCTTCTAGCTCAGACTTCGCACCTGTTCACGTTTCTCGGCCCATCTACACACTTTCTCAGTCTGGTCTAGGTCAGAGGTATGTCACGCTGTACTGTTTTCTTCCAAAAGAGTCTCTCTTTGGGCCTAGGCTTAGGCTGTGGGTAGGGGGGTTTGGGTTAGGGCCAGTTCTAGATGTTCTCCTGTCGTTGAAAGCTGTGTCTAGTATAGAACACACGACATCGGCGCTGATGTAATTGGAGTAAAGTCAACGTGACACCCCTCTGACGTAGAACAGAGATAGTATGAATGAAAGGTCAGCCAGTGTGTAGATGGGCGTGAATAGGATCACTTCCTGTTGATCTGCCTTAACATGACCGGTAAAAAAAATGTGCCCGTGGGTACACATGATAATTGCAATATGGTCGCCTGGAAAGGATTAATGAGCCCGACATGATTCTTTTTGACAGTAAAAAAAAAAATAAAAAAAAAATTCATGGCAGTAGGTATGTAATGAAATACTCCTGTCTTTCCTATAATTTAATTTGCAGAACAAGTTGCGAAAGGTAGGACAGGTATGCTCCAAGTAGAGTGGCAAGCATCACTTCAGAGGTCCCGAGCAGTTGGCGTCCTTTGGACATTTTTTCCAGGAATGCCGGTCTATTGGAAAACGAATAGGCGTATAAACAGGCTGGTTCGTCACCAATTGGCGGTAAATTGATGCATGGCAAGCTATATGTTGTAAGGGTCCTCTGGGAACAAGTGAATAGTGCCAACATCATCACCCTCTGAGGAGTCTGGTGCTGCGTGGAGTGACCAGGAGAGATCTCCCCGACGCCCAACCTTTAAAGGAAAAGCGAGACGGATATAAAACCAGACTGTCCTTGGTGACATAAAGATTAGGCATCATCGTTTACTGCTGAAGATAGGGACGGAGCTCATCTAGGCGTGGTACAAAGAGAGAGGAGAATAGGAGGGCCAATAAAATATAACAGGATTCCAAATGTGTCTAGCTGGATGGTCTTAAATACTGGCGCCTCTGACAGGCAGAGAAATGGACAGCCCTGATCAAACTAACGCGATCTCACAATGACACGCGACGCTATACGACGACAAAATAAGCGCAGTGATATCTCTATACTTTGTACGCGTATATTAATATAGCGGAAAGTGTTTTGATCATATACTGAGTTACTAACCAACGTACAGTGAATTGCCTGGCATTAAATAAGTGTAGGTACAATCAAACACTAAATAGAGATATATCTAACAAAGTATGTATCTGCAAAAACGAAGTAGAAAGAGAAACTTACTAGAACTTCCGGAACTCTTATTCGTCCCGCAGCTGTTCTCTGCTGTCGTTTTTGAAATATTTGACGTGCCTCGTTTACCCCTGGCTTTGTCGGGGATTATATCTGAAGAGTTTCGGTTGAGCGACTTTGAATGATCTTGTCTTCCAGTGTCGCCTGCTTGAAAAGCCCTGTGCTGAGACGAGTCTCTGCTCCTGGAAGAAGTATTTTCTTGCTTGCCCTGGGGTCTCTGCCAGTTTTTCCTGGCGCCAAAGTTGTCGTACAGACGATTGTTGGCGTACGTATCGTCCGAATGCTTCATACCCTGCAACGCGCCGCCGCCATCCGAAGCTCTCTGCAATTCTGGCTTGTCATGGGCGCCGGCTGTCTCCTGTGGATATTTCGAGTCCTCGTCCCGCCTAAATGTGAACGGAACCCACGCCCCCGGCTCAAGATCCCTGTTAATGTCCTCAGCATAATCGTCCTTGTTGACGACATTTTCACGACAAACGATGCCCCCAACTGTCTTGATCTCTTTAACGACAGGTGCTTCGGGCATCTCGCTCTCCACCTTCGGCTCAAAACTGTAGGTATCATCATCAATCACATAAAAATTGCGCTCTGGACTGGTCTTGCTGGCGTAGTTGAAGTAGCTTTCAGGCTCCCCGCTGGCGGTTTTTTCGGGTCTTCGCGCCCGTTGCTCGTCCAGCGGACTGGAGACCTTTGGGCCGTACTTCCACCATCCATCATCCATCATGTACACGCCGGAGTCCGAGGCGGTCTGCGGCTCTGGTCGGAAAGGTTTGGGGGCTGAGTACGCCGAGTAGGGATCTTTCACCGGTTCGTAGAGATCCGAGGCGGATCTCCTAGCCGGGCCTGGCACCGTGTAGCATGATTCATAAGCCTGGTCGTACAGGGTGGACGAAGTGTACGTGGCCGTCGGCGGTTTCACGTACCAGTTTTCCGCAGCGGGTGGTCGGCTGGGTGGAGCCGGTTCCTGCGGGGCAGGCGGTACGTTCTGTGCCCCATACGATCCGGTGTAAATATCTTCAAAATGATTGTTGTTTGAGTCACATGGAATGCTACCATATTTACAGGGGCCGCAGTTATTTGTCTTGTTAACGATGGGACGAACTGTACTAGTGTAGTAGTCGTCATTGTTCTGCCACGAGTACGGGGACCTGTCTACTGAAGGGTGAGACCTTGTAACCATTGTTTCCGCACCCTCAACACTTTGGTCGTGAAGCAGCCCGCTATACCAAATACTATCAGTACCAGGGTCATCTCGCCGTGGCGGCACGAAGAAGGTTTTGTTGGTTTCCTCCACATTGTCGTATTTAAGGAAATCAAACACGGATCCGGACTTCTCGATACGCCTGACGTGGAACTCGGGTCTCGTTCCGGGATCATAGTCCGTGTACATGGGATCTGCACTTTTTGTAATAATTGTGCTGTTAGGGCAAGAATTATCGCAGTCTTGCATTCCGTACCAGTTATTGCTGTTATTAGACACGTCATAGCAGTTGCTTTCCCCGCAGACCAGAACTGGCTGAGACAAATACCCCCAAGTGGAGTCGCTGTGTCTAAACAAGGTGGTGTCCGCACGAGGTCTGCATCTGACGCTGCGCTGCAGTCTCACTACGCCTGAACGCGAGGAAGTCATAATTCTGCTGTCTTTCCCATCGTTTTCTTGATTAGCAGTTTCCGTGGCGCTACCTTGCGACGATGCCATTGTGTTCTGGTTGCTATTAAAAATGCTGCCTGTATAAATGTCCATCTCGCTCAGATCGCGCTTTGACATGCCTGTAGATTCAAAGTAGATATTGGTGGACGACTCCTCGGAGCTGCTGCCCCCGCTGCCCTTGTTGTCATTCGCATAGAAAGGATCGTCTTTGTAAAAGCCGCCCGTGTAGAGGCTCTCGCTGAGTTCACTCTTGGTGCTGATGGCGCTGTTGGAGCTGGTGGACCTGCTCACGTCTCCGCTCATGGTGTAGATCTCCCTGGACCCACTGGTCAGGTCGTGATAATTGGGCACCTGTGCCCTGGTGGTCTGGCGCTTGGCCAGATGATATATCAGCCCCGTGTCCACATCGGTCTCTGTGTAGACGGACTGGCGGCGCGACAAGGCGTGGTCGAGAACGCCACCGTACTTCGTGATGGCTTCGTCCGAGTGGCTGCTTTTGGCCATAGACACGATGTGAAAGCTGGTGGTCGATTTGCTTTCCAGTGAACGATCTCTTCGCATAAAAGATCTGTCGTCCGAGGACAGCACTTGCAGTGGACTGTACCAGGGACTATTCTTGCCGTCTGAAATATCAGGTGAAGCATATTTCTTGATACCTTCATGATAGACGCATTCCTCTTCGCCTACACCTTTCAAGTCCGAACTATCGTTGTATCCATCGATCTCCATCGCGTTTTCCACCTCCTGGTTGGCAAACTTTGGAATCTCTGTGTAATAGCTTTCATTGTCCAACTCGCTATCAAAATGATCTTCGATACGTTCTTCCTCTTCTATACAAGGGGACAGCATTTTCTCAGCGCTATCGTCGTAGTACCTTCTTTCAGTTTCAAAAGCATATTCATTTTGTGACCGCATCAGCTGCAGCTGTTCTTCATTGGCATGATGCGATCTCTCTTGTGACATGTCGACCATCGACAGCTCTGTATTGCCAGCTTCGATCGTCTTCTCTTTAGAAGTAGCTACAGGCAGCTCGCTGTAGAGGAACGGATCAATCGACATGTCGTCTGCTGGCTGATATTCCTGGACCACTCTTGCTCGGAACCGTGACAGCTGCTCATCCACCAGTGAGAATACCGGAATATTGTTGCGTCCAGCAATAGACACGTAGCCTGCAGGGGAAGAGTCTCTTTTGTGCTTGCTTTCTTCTTCATCGCCATCAATGACCGACCATGAACTGCTTCTGTGCAGATCGTCCCGCTTGGGGCCGACATGACTGCTATCGAAGGATGTTGATCTTCGTTTGGTGAATGACATTGAATTCACAACAGAAGCGTCATCTGCATACGCCTCGATCATGTCTTGCATCTTTCTTCTATCGCTCAGACTGTTTTCTTTTCGTAAAGTTGACGCCTTATTGGTCCTCACCGTAATTTTAGTGTTAGCTCTGACCGCATTGTCCAGCACAGTTAAACTTGTTGGCATCTCTTTCCGCGGTAGATGGTTCTTGTAAGGCGCGGTTGCGCTACGAATGAACATTGCTTTGCGACCTTTCCCATCGTCACCTTTTCTGCAGTCTGCAGTGTTTGGAGGGTCCACTGGGCTTCCCTCGTGAATGACTTTCAGCCTGCAGATATTAATATCCGTTACGATCTCACGCTGTGGAGAACAGCTGTCCTCGTCTTCAAAATCTGCTTCTAGTTCGTGGAAAGTTTTACTTCTATTTCGCTGGAACTCAAAACCTTTTTTAGACTCGTCCTTAGCTGGTTTCTTATTCGGCATCGTTGGCTGCAGATTGTTGGTCCTAAGATCACCGTCCGTTCTGGCTCTTTCTACACGAGCTAGCTGCTTGACAAAGACTTTGGTTTTTAGTTTTTCAGCTTTGCTGATTCTGTTTCTATCTCCCTCGTAAACTAGGAACGCTTTTTCTTCTTTTCCAGCGTACGAGCTATCTCCTTCTACACGCGACTGCCTGTAATCAGCTATCTTCGACAAGCTGTCAGATGTTTTGATCCTGTCGTGATTTATCCAATGCACTGACGAATGTACACCTTTTTCCTCCATGGATAAACCGACTCGCCCATCGTAAGACAAACTCTTACTGTGCAAACTTTTCGAGCGGGGCTCTGCGTGGCTGACCATGTTGATCTCCGTCATGTATCTGTTCAGTCCTATTTCTGGCCCATGCTTCTTAGGCACGATCTCCTCTAGTGTAGTGCTCTTTGCATTTTCTTCACTCTTCCATTCTGGAGTGGAGCCATGCAAAATGTCACTGCTCATCTCTGAAATTGGAGAATTCAGAAGAATTTTCTTAACACTGTTCGCAAAGCTTTGGGCATATGCTTTCAGTTCGTCTAAAGGCCCATTACGACTATCGTCTTCCCAGCTTCGTAGCCCACACTGCTTGCAGAGCGCACATTTAGGCATTTGGACGTCACTTCCACAAGCAAGGCACACACCGGCGTTACACGAGACCCTTTTAGCATCAGGTGTTTCCGCGGGTCTTGTCATCGACTTTCCGTCCTGGGACTGAGCACTTAGGGTAATGTCCCTCGTACTGCGATTAACATCACTTTCCACATTTGAAGTCTGCCTCGACAGAGCTAACTCGTCAGACGAGTTTTCCACCGAGACTGCTTTCCCTGCCGGCTTGCCCTCAGAATTTTGCTGGATCAAAGAGCTGAAAGAAGGCGCACAGCTTTTGGAGTGCAGTGTTGGCACGACCAAGCCGCCCTGAGTGTTGGACTGCTCCTCGGAATCCAGCATCCAGTTATTATTTTCCGCCTTGTTTCCGATCAGTTCAGCATTGGTCTCCTCTGGAATATGCCCTTCATAGCCTACTGATTTCAATCCTGAATTCTGCTTCAGCCTCCACAGCGAGTTTCTGATGGCTTTCCGAGCCGGCCCTACTGAACTACGGATTGATGGAGTGAGAAGATCAAACGAACTAGCATGATTGCGTTGCAGCTTCCCGTGTTTTCTAGTAGCATCGCGTGGATGCTTCCTTGCCCTGTATCCAGACCTCGGATGAACAGGGTCGGTAACTACACCCAAAGTAATCGTCCTGTCACTAGAAGTATCAATTACTAGCAGGTCTTTCTTGTCTGATTGGCTTGCCATTGGCGGGGCTGCGTTGGCATTATTTTCCGTGTCCTCCTGAAAAGAGAAACAGCAGTAGTTTATCTATTATGTGTACGGGAGAATATTGCTTAACATGAACGTCTGCTTGCCTGCAGTTCACCATCTTCTTCTTCTGTCATTTATCCCCCAGTGGAGCATAGACTTTAACCAGTTAACGCCAAGTCGTCTTTCCCTTTTCTATAGTCTGCAGCTCTCCCCACCTCTTCCCCATATTTTTTAACTTCATTCTCTAGTTGCCTCCAACCAAAATTTTTTTTCTTCTTTATCTTGATGCACTGGAATTTGTTTAGTTCTTCCCCAAAGCTCAACATTAGTGATGCTGTCGTACCTTTTAACTCAGTCCATTTGCGCATGAACCAGTTAATAAACGTTTTTAGTTTATCAGTAACTGCTCTAGTTGTTCTCCATGTTCCCGCCCCTATACAGCCTTAGGGATTTGACATTAGAATTACGCATTTTAAGTTTAGCATTAGTTTGGATTTATTTTTGGTTTCAACAATGCCCTAGTGATGTGAAAACTCCTCTTGCCTTTTTGTTATCCGTATGTAAATATCTCTATCAGTTCCCCCATCTTTATCTACATTACTGCAAGAATGGGTGTCTGGGAAGGGAGGGGTATTATCAAGAGAATTCTGTTTCGCTGGTTAATTCTCATTATATTGGTCTTTCCATTATGAATCCTTAAACCGAATTTCTGTGTACAAAACGTATAAAACCCCTTGTCTATCAAGCATGTGTTCTCGGCACTTTTCTTACGGTAGTGAAGCCTGGTCGACTAATTCGTACCAGGAGAGATGGCTGAATATTTGTTACATGCGATGCCTACAAAGATTACTTGCTATTAATTGGCAAGATAAGATCACAAACACTGAGGTAACGGAAAGATCAGACGCTGGAACCGTTTTCTCAATGCTGTCTTCAGTCTTCAAAGGCTCACATGGCTAGGTCGCACTTAAAGGATGGCGAATGGTAGAGTCCTTCAGGCCATCATCTTTGGCGAACTACAGATAGGTAGATGTTTAGATCGATATTTACTACGATATGAAGATGTCTGTAAGCGGGGCATGAATGATACAGATATTGGTGTGGGTTCATGGGAACATGATGCCGTGGACCTACTCCGTGGAAGGTGGAAAGGAAGGAAATGTGGTTAAGAATTGAGCGTCTGAGAAAAAGTACGTTACAAACACGCTATGGCAACAGTGCTCCTGAAATCCCCTGCTCTAAGCGTGGAAGACTTTTCTCAAAACGAGCAGTTCGTACTAGTCTCATTCGCCGTCGGCTGTAATTCCTAATCCTGCATATAACACAGTGTCACATAATCGCCTGGAAAGACGGTCAGTTGCAAGAACCACCACCAAAATATACGTGCCTGCATAAGTGGTACGTGCATATGTGTGCTTGGATGTTTATACGCACATCTGACTGACAATCAGCTGCCTACATGCCCGCATTCGTGCATTTTTATTCCGAGCAGATGGGCAGATGTGTTTTTATGCTTATATCATGCTTGTATTCGTGTAGATTAGTAGGTGGTTATACCGCAAAAGGACATCACACAAGCGATAAACACCCGGTGAAACAAAGTGCCACCATGCGGATGAGGATCACCCTTAGAGAGGTACCAGAAACCCATATGGCTAGGCCAGTGGATCCGCGTTCACTGGCGGAGGGTCCTTGTTGTTTATCCACCTGTGAACTTGACTTGTTCTAGTACCTGAGTGTTTTACAGATATGCCCCGCCTACATTCAGGGCCCCCGGCAGAAGCCATGGTGGGGATTCAAATAACGAAAAATTGTATCTCACACAGGGACCAATTTTATACATTACAATATTCGTGTATGTAAGTATTAAGCCTAAACCTGTGTAATCTTGGACATATTTATACAAGACAAAATCAACGCTTGTAGGAACGTTTGTTAGCATGTATAAATATGTTATACTTCTTGGTTCCACTTTACAGGAAGCGATCTAACTGAACATTATTATAATTCTTTGCAAGATTTATTGTCATTATTGTTTCTTTCTTTGTGAATGTAGTTTTAGATTTAATTATTATGATCACTAATTAAAAAAAAAATACCCAACATGAAGATGGGAACAGGATATAAGCGACTCCTTGAATATGAAAGTGCACGAGACGGAAGAGCTGGCGAGAGACCGCGTTTCTTTCCGGCTGACTGATGAGAGCGACGGTCTGCAAAGGACCTGCTACATGATTTTGTACAGGGGAACAACTTAGCCGTCATTACATATTTTGGAGTGGGAAGGCGGATCAGCCCACCTATAATTGTTGGGGGAAAGTAGAGGGAACCCTCAGTCCACTCTAACAAACATGGGATTTGGAGCCCAAGGTTACTAAGCTACCAGGTACTGGTAGCGTTAAGCAATGATTGACAGTGACAAGCCACAGCTGGAAGATAATTAACAGTACCTTGGGTTTGCTTACAGCTCTCGGTGGCAGAGCTAAAGGAGGCCGTGCCTGACTGGAGATTACAGCGCCACCAGGCGGACTTGTCCATTCTTGCGGCAACTGAGAAGACAAGCGTTAGTGAAATCCTTATTTGAGCACCATTTCATATTTTGTTAAAAGGGGGAAGGAGCGGTTCGTAGGATGTTAACCACATTTTTTAAGTCGGCATGCACTACGATATAAAGATGCAAGTAAGCGTGGCATGAATGATACAGGTATTGGTGTGGATTCATGGGGACGTATGCTATGGTCCTACTGCATGAAAGGTGGCAAGGGAGGAAATATAGATAAAGAAAAAAAAAAAGTATCGCAGATAGCCAGAAAGGTAAAGAAATAAGCGTCTAAGAAAAAGTAAGTCAAATACACGCTATGGCAATAATGTTCCTGGAATCACGTGCTCTAACTGTGGAAGACTTTTCTCAAAACGAGCAGTTCCTGTTAGACTTATCTTCCTAGCAAGAATGACGTAGAAGGCGAATTAGGCGGTAGGCGATGTAGTCAACATCATGCCTGCCGCCTTTACTTCACTGTGCATTACCTGGTACCCATTTTAAACTAGGTCGACCTGTGAGCCAAGGTCAATTAAAAAAACAAAAATATGACTCAGTGTGGATTCGAACACATAACTTCGGGCTGCCAAGTGATGCTTCCAACACAAAACGGGGAATCCCTAATTAGATCGTTATAAGGACCACTTTTCCCCGCCTTCGGGCGTACTAGACATATAGGGCGAGACCTATATTTTATAGACCAATGGATGATGGGGTTAACATTAGACCGACCGCCTTTACTTCCCAGAACTCCCCCCAGTACCCACTCAAAGCTGGGCGGACCTGGAAACCAAGGTCATTTTTAAAAAAAAGAAAAAAAGTCCCTCTCCACCAGGATCCGAGCCCACGGTCCCCAGGCGAGCATCTAACCACGGCTATTTTAGACAATTATTCTTCAATGTTTATTAATTTATAAAGACAAACGTTTTACTAGAAATAAAACGACAACAGGGCTTGGGGAGGACCAAACACAATATGGAGTTGCGGCACAAAGAACATTAAAGATTACCAAATTATTAAACGCATTAGATAGAGAGATGATGGTGGATAGCTTAAGACAGAGGCATGGACGAATATCATCAGTGGAACTGACCCAGAACACCAAAGACCGAGATCTGTGGAGATGCAATAACGCCTCCGCTAGATGACAAGGTACTTAATGATGACGATAATGATTAGAAAGAGCACATGTACGCCTTCCCCGCCACTTCCTGGTGGCGACTGGAGCAATGACAATAATAAGTGTTAAAGATTGCGATTATTGAAACAGATGTAGAAGCTGTTCATATCTTGTGGAAATAAGCGCCGCCAATTACTAGATTCTTTATAGAATGTCGCTTTCTTCACGGCACGCCTGAAAATGTCTCTCCCTTTCTCTCTCCCTCTGTGCGCTCTCTCTCTCTCTCTCTCTCTCTCTCTCTCTCTCTCTCTCTCTCTCTCTCTCTCTCTCTCTCTCTCTCTCTCTCTCTCTCTAGCCAATTCTGCTGCCCTATGTGCTTTCATAATCAATGCTTCAATGTCTTGTCTCCACATTCGCGGAGGTCTGTCCTGCCTCGTTTTCCGGACACACATATCCTATCACTATTCTCTTCACGCCACTATGACGTTCAACCTGGCAAAAATACCCCAGCTTTTGGGATAAGATACTGTTTAAAAGCAAATTCACCAAGATCCTCATATCATGCAGCTTGTCGATGTTTTTTTCTTTTCTTCTTAACCCCACGGTATCCTGAGAAATTTTCTGCTGCATTTCAGTTCAAATGCTGCCATTCGTCTTCTTTAAAGACTAAGGAAGAGTTCCGATTCACAACTTTAAGTTGCCACAAGAAAGATGCATGATCTCAAAATGGTGACTTCAACCAGCTTTCAGATGCTGTGAGATAGATTCTTCATGCCCTAAAGCAAGTCTTTTACTAATTTCTTTTGTACAGTAGCCCTCGTTATACACTCTCAAGCCAAAAATATTCAAATTTTGTGTGTTCTGTCTGTTATACGAGCGGATTAGCAAACGGCTAGGCAGTGTTCATTCACTCAGGCCCAAGCCAAGTCTGCAACGAACAGAGAAGCCTGACGCTAGCTCCGTAAAATAAAGGTCCCTTTTCCTCGCCTTTAGGGGTTTTGGGAATATAGGGCTAGACCGATATTTTTATAGACCAATCGGCACTTGATGGGTGATATGGTCATCATCACGCTGGCCGCCTTTACTTCCCAGGACCGCACCTGGTACTCACTCAAGGCTGGGTCGACCTGGGAGTCAAGATCATTTTTGAAAAACGTCCGGCTCCTTCAGGACGCGAACTTAAGACCTTCCGATCCGCAGGCAGGCAATGCTAGCCCAGAGCCCTACACAAACAAGACGAGCTTCAGTTAGAATACGGCGGTCTAGAGAAATATTCACATATCGTTTAGCCAACCAGCAAGGACACTAGCATCCCTGCAATGCAAGACTCAGCTTTTATAGACCGGTGGGCAGTTTTAATAATGATCATATAAATAATCAGAATGATGATAAAAATTTAATAATAATAATAATAATAATAATAATAATAATAATAATATAATAATAAGAAGAAGAAGAAGAAGAAGAAGAAGAAGAAGAAGAAGAAGAAGAAGAAGAAGAAGAAGAAAAAGAGGAAGAGGAGGAAGAGGAGGAAAAGGAAGATGAGGAAGATGAGGAAGAAGAAGAAGCAGAAGAAGAAGAAGCGGAAGAAGAAGAAGAAGAAGAAGAGGATGAGGAAGAAGAAGAAGCAGAAGCAGCAGCAGCAGAAGCAGAAGCAGAAGAAGAAGATGAAGAGTAAGAGGAAGAAGAAGAAGAAGAAGAAGAAGAAGAAGAAGAAGAAGAAGAAAAAGAGGAAGAGGAGGAAAAGGAAGATGAGGAAGATGAGGAAGAGGAAGAAGCAGAAGAAGAAGCGGAAGAAGAAGAAGAAGAAGAAGAGGATGAGGAAGAAGAAGAAGCAGAAGCAGCAGCAGCAGAAGCAGAAGCAGAAGAAGAAGAAGAAGAAGATGAAGAGTAAGAGGAAGAGGAGGAGGAGGAGGAGGAGGAGGAGAAGAAGAAGAAGAAGAAGAAGGAGAAGAAGAAGAAGAAGAAGAAGAAGACGAAGAAGAAGGAGAAGAAGAAGAAGAAGAAGAAGAAGAAGAAGAAGAAGAAGAAGAAGAAGAAGAAGAAGAAGAAGAAGAAGAAGAAGAAGAACAAGAACAAGAACAAGAAGAAGAAGAACAAGAACAAGAACAAGAACAAGAAGAAGAAGAAGGAGGATGAGGATTAACGTACACTGTCTGCCATTTTGCCTGTAATCCCATAAGGAACAGCAATGAAGTCCCCATCACTTTCAAGAACGTTGCCCATATGCAGAGCGGTGTTGTCATAAAGCATATGCGAAGCTACCTCAAGAGCAGCTAGGCTAGCCATATTCTGGTCCATCATCTTCATGCCGTGAAGCGGAGAAATGTGAATGGATCGGTGCTTTCCAAACTAGAAGGATGATATAATGGTTGCGGCTACTGACTTTGTGAATAAGCCGGCGCCCTCATTACGATCTTTCAAATCTTGGGAACAACGCTGTCGAATGAAAGGGAAGTTATTATGATTTCATTTTTTCGTGTACACACCTATTTGTATTCCCTTCATAAATTTATTTTAGGAGGACACAAAAAAAAAAAAATACTGTACAAAAACAATTTATGTAAACAAAAGGATCCCATCATTAAACCTTAGACTTCCGCGGTAATCGCTTGTTTAATTTAAGACTTCCGGTGAGAGATGCAGTGTAATTAAGAGATACTGTGATTTCTGTCTTTCAACTGACAGGATTCGTGTTTTGTGCTTCATTGTACCTCGATAGACATCTTACAGTAATACACCTGGCCAGACTCTAGGTTCACTGCAATTTTCTCTATAGATCACACTAAAAGAACCTAAACGCTCCATAATTGTATGGTTATAATTAATTATTTATTAAACACACCTAAACATTTTAATCTACTTTCTATGGTTTTTCTTCATCAGCTTCTAACACAGAGATACCTTTAGTGTCTTGGCCTACCAGGAAGTGTCATAAAAATCAAAGGCGGCTTGCGTTATATTTACTATTTTACCCACTGAATGCCGTTTTATCTACAAGATTGGAAAGCCAAATTTAACCTTTGACAATAAATTTCAACATTTTTGCAAATCAAATTCACCATTTTGCACATCAAATTATACTTTTTGAAATAAAACTTCACCTTTTGCAAATCGAATTCAACTTGTGGCAAATTAAATTCGTCCGGTGGGTTGAGTCGGTTTATTGTAATAACGCCATTTTCCAAAGTTACTTACGTAGCCATGCCAGCAGTACTGATTAGCATCCTTGCCAACGCTTACCTGGCAAAGCCAACTGGAAGTTAACTTTTACTTCTACAAACGTTGAAAATTTCAAAGACAGTAAAAATAATAGTGCCAGAACTGACAAGCGAAGATTATGGAAAATCTAGCAGAAAATGCTGCTAAAGAATATGATCTACAAACCCTACACAAAATTACCCAACAAATTTGCGGAAACAGAAACAATTACCACAGCATGCCCATCAGAGATAATCAAGGCAAACTCTTTACCACAGAACACAAACAAAACATGCAGTGGATTGAACACTTTTCTAACCTCTTGAATAGACTAGATCCTGAAAATCCCCCAGATGTTCAACCAGCCTCTCAGGACATTGACATTATTACTGAACCACCAAGCAAACAAGAAATCCTTAAAGCTATCACACTTTAAAGAACAACAAAGCACCAGGCAAAGACGAACTGCCAGCAGAGCTGCTCAAGATAGATCCCTATACAAACAACTGTTAACATTCTAGAACCATTGTTTAATGATATTTGGGAAAAAGAAGTGTTGCCCGATGACTGGACTGAAGGAACAATAGTCTAAATTCACCCCCCCCCCCCACCCCCAAAAAAAGGAGATTTAACAGACTGCAATAATTGGAGGGGAATTACTCTACTCTCAGCATCAAGCAAATTTTTTTGTAAAATCATCAGAATGCGACTCGAAAAGGGAGTAGATAAATGACTACGAGTGGAACAAGCAGGATTCAAAAGGGCAGAGGAGCAGCTGAGCATATCTTTACTCTACATAACATTTTAGAACAATGCAATGAATGGCAGAGAAGTATATATATTAATTTTGTGGGCTTTGAGAAAGCTTTGGACAGCGTCCATAGAGACAGTCTCTTGAAAATTTTACGACATTATGGAATTCCAGAAAAGATAGTCAACACAATTGCTCTGTTCTATAAAGACTTTTCCTGCAGTACAAAAAATTACATCTTTCCCAGTAAAGACAGGTGTAAGACAGGGATGTGTTATGTCATCCCTCCTCTTCAACCTTGTGATTGATTGGATACTAAAGAACACAGCAGACAAGACATCGAGAGGCCTGTGATGGACTTCAGTCACCATACTCGACGACCTTGATTTTCCAGATGATATAGCACTCCTATCACATAAACATGAACATATGCAAGAAAAAAGTAACTGACTACACAGCAAAGCAGAAATGGTGGGACTGAGAATAAATACAAGGAAAACTAAGACCATGACAAACAGTCCAAACCAACAACCAGTGACCATAAATAACCAAACACTTGAAAATTTTGAACATTTCACATATCTTGATAGTGTGGTGTCCTCACTGGGAGGGACAGAGGTAGACATACAGTCACGCCTGAAAAAAGATAGAGCTGCTTTTGGAAAAATGAGGCAAATCTGGAAATCTAACAGCTACTGTAGAGGAACGAAAAATTGACTCTACAATAGCATCATTTTGCCAGTTCTTCTTTATGGAGCGGAATGCTGAAGAATGACCAAAAAGGATGTACACAAGCTGTCCACCTTCCACCACACATGTCTACGTAGAATTATCCAAATTTTCTGGCCAGATACAATGTCAAACAATAAACTACTTCAAGTCACAAACCAAGAAACTAGTCAGTATGATAACCAAGAGAAGATGGAAATGGCTTGGCCACGTTATGAGAATGAATCCTGATATACCTGCCAAAACAGCTCTCACATAGATACCAGAGGGAAAGAGAAAAAAAAGGGGCGCCCAAAAACAACACGGAGACGAACGATGGAAAGTGACCTGAGTGCGGCATCTTTGACATGGAAAACTGTACTGAAGACTGCGCAGGACAGGGAAGCATGGAAAGTCCACTCTGAAGCCTCATATGTCACTAGGCATAACGAGAACTGATGATGATGATGATATGAAATTACTGCAAGCAGCTAGATGAGAACCAGTGCAAATAAACCCACACATAAATACAAATTATTTCTTGTGGTAAATAAATATTTTACTTTTCTTATTGCATAAAAGCGATATAATGCACACACGTATGACAACAGCTGTCATTTTGTTTTAATTTTTTTTTTGTGGGGGGGGGGGGGGGAATAGCGACAAACAATATTTGTTGTAGCAAAACACGTCATCTGTAAAGGGTTGAATCTGATCTGCATAAGTCTGAATTTGATTTGCATACGTTTAAATTTGATTTGCATAGGCTTGAATTTCATTTGCAAAAGCTTGAATTCGATTTAAAAAGGATGAAACCGATTTGCAAAACGATGAATCTTCGCGGAAGGTTGAACCTGGCTTTCTATTCCTGTATAAAACTATGGGTTTAACACCCTATGTAAGTAAAAGTAAAGTAAAGATCCCTTTACACGCCCTTAGGCGCATCGGGCAAATGGGAAGAGCACCCATATTTTTATAGACCAATCGGCACTCGGTGGGTAATGTGGTCAGCATTACGCCGGTCGTCTTTACTTTCCCAGGACATTAACACCATATACCGATGCTTTTATGGCGTCAAAATGTATCTTTATATTTTGTTTAGGGCTGGTCAGCTTTCTTTACTGCCTGCAGTTTTTGTGCGGTGGGGGTTTGAGTCTGAGGATTGACCACTGCAAAGCTAGTGCAGTCGCCACGAACTGTGCAGGTTAAGCATGTAGGCACGTGTGTGTGTGGTGTTTGTGTGTGCGCGCGCGAGTGTGTGTGTTTTCCCCGGATAGAACCAAAATAATAATTTCATGACCATGTGGATTCCAACTTAGGTCTCCCGCAAGACAACCCAGTAATTTACCCACTCGGTGCAAAAACCCTGAGTGACTCAAAACTTTGACTTAACGCAACATCTGAAGATTATGATTGAAATCAAGCGACATATTATATGCCTAGGTTCCAAAGTTCCCATATTGGTGCTGGAGGGGGGGGGGGGGGAGGGTAGACCACCATCTCCCTAAAAAGCATGACGTACATCATCTCGGGCCGTGCCGGTAAGCGTAGGCTGTCTTGTTTCGCCATCTCACAGGATCACCAGAATCATGGATCAGGTCAATATTTTTGTCTCGCTCCATCCATGTGGCCAGGCCATTCAAGTATTTATCTCTTTGCCTTTCTCCTGCTCTCTGTCCATAAATCTTGCCAGCTGTCGCAAAGTTTTCATAACATGTCCTTAAAGCACTGACTGTCTTCGTCTGAATGTTCTGGTAAGTTTATGTCAGTAATCTCTCTACCTTTTTCTAACATTAGTTAGCACCGTCCCCTTGTAGGATGCAATTTTTAGTTATTTTGAAGCCCCACTCTGGCTTTTGCCGGGGGCCCAACAAATAGCCGGGTCTTAAACCTGGCTTAACGGCTGAATGGGGTTTCCGGGACCTCTCCAAGGGTGTTCCTCATCCGCATGGTGGCACTTTGTGACACCGGGTGTTTTTCTATCCATCCGTGATACTCTCTGCATTTTTCTTAAAACAACATCTCTGCCGCAAGTGAATGTTTTTTCAGCCAGTCTGTTCATCGTCCGTGTCTCACAAGCCTCTAACAATCACAATGCCGTTTACAGCGAATAAGTAAGGGACTTGCCTGTGAAATCAGAGTGTATATTTCTGAGAGGTAGGAAGGAATTCAAAGGATGCATACGAATAAGCCAGATGTGTGAAATGGATCTAATTGCAAAACTCAGAAGAAGAAGAAGAAGAAGAAGAAGAAGAAGAAGAAGAAGAAGAAGAAGAAGAAGAAGAAGAAGAAGAAGAAGAAGAAGAAGAAGAAGAAGAAGAAGACGAAGAAGACGAAGAAGAAGAAGAAGAAGAAGAAGAAGAAGAAGAAGACGAAGAAGAAGAAGAAGAAGAAGAAGAAGAAGAAGAAGAAGAAGAAGAAGAAGAAGAAGAGGAAAAAAAAGAAGAAGAAGCGAAAAATAATAAACAGTATTGTTCTTCCAACACGTGTTATTAATGCCAGGATCATCCCGCTATAATCAACTAGAGATTTCAAAATTGGATACAGGTATGATAAAAGGCAACTGCAGAAAAAGAAGAAGAAGAAGAAAGAAAAAAACTAACTAGGCTCCCGGGGCAGGTCCTTAGAGTAGCCGGGGGGGGGGGGGGGT